GGCATTGTTTCGCTGCCAAAACAGGCGGCAAACGGTCTTACCAAGATGAGCGCCATGAACATCGTGACTGTAAACACCGAGAACATGAGGAGCACCAGGAAGAACTGGTACGTGAACAGAGCTGCCCAGGGCCGATTCAGCTTTGATCAATTCGGACAAGCACAAAATGGAACAAACGAAATCCCTTCACACACACACACACACACACACACACACACACACACACACACCCACAAACCTCTCTCCATCCTCAAATCCCCGCCCGTGATTCGATACAACCGCCACAGGCACTCTTTCGCGACAAACACCGCCAACCCGACGTAACACGCGGTCCACGACGCTGCGATGGCGATGGCGGCAAGCAGGTAGTAGCGGTGCGTCGGCCCCCACCCGCCGTCCAGGATGTCGTTCCACAGCGAGTTGCGCAGGCTGTCGAGCGTCGACGTCGCCTGGTTCTGCTGGATCACGGAGTAGACGACGAAGCAGATGTTGAGCGCGAGCGTCGAGAAGAGTTTCATGAGGTTGTGTGTGCTGTGAGACCGCCGGGAGTGCTTGAGTCAGCGAAGGGGTGGTAATTTTGGGGGGGGGGGGGGGGGGGGGGGGGGAGCTGTGCCGTTTACATGATGCCTCTCCACGTAAGATACGCTGCGAACATGATGCACACAATAAAGGAGCTCTGATACCTTAATGCGAAAAAGGGGGGGGCAACGGCATAGGAGGAAAGGGCCGCAGTCAGTCGGGAGAAGATGAAAACATCTGGAATAAAACTCGCTCTGCTGCTCACGCGAATCCCGACATAAACTTGCTGAAAAAGTCGTCGTCCAACTCAGGGCCTGCCCCCATGGCGGTGCGGCTCTGCAGCTGAATGAATATCAAAGTTTCGCTTCGAAGGATCACGGACTGAATTGCGATCTGGGGTGCGCATGAGGGAAAGTGGGGCAGTCGGGAAAAGCGCCGAAAGATATTCGCAAAGAATACCTGCGTTGAGGCAAAGGCGATCAGGAGGAAAATGGTGGTGCGCGACCAGAACACGTGGCTGTCGGCGTGAGGCTGGCTGGGTCGAAACAAAAAGAAGCGTCCGCTGTAAGCAAAGCGTTTGCCAGAAAAGAGAAACTGTGTGACAAACGTTGCAACTCACGGCAGTATCGGCTTGAAGAACGCCGCAACCTCGTCCAACACCCCTTTCTCCGCGACCGCCGCCCGCCGCTGCCACTGCCGCCTCTGCGAACCGCCCGTCCTCGACCCCGTCCGCGCTGCCGCAACCGGTGCAGCCGCGGCCGCCGCTGACGCCGCCACCGCCGCCGCCGCCAAATCCGCGCTGCGGGCCCTCCGTCTCGTCTCCTGCATCCTCCGCGCCTTTTCCAGCAGGGACCCGGGCACCGCCGCCACGGACGCTGGAGACAGTGACGGTGCCGCGGAGGGCTCCGCCGCGGGGACAAGCGTGGCCGCGGACCCCCAGGGGCTCGCGGCGTCCCATGGCAGATGATCGGCACCGTCGGCGGTGTCGCGTGGGGCTGCCAAAGGGACGTCTGGTGGCGGTGGAGGTGGTGGAGGGGATTCGGCGTCGAGGGGAACGAACTCGCCCTCGATGGCGAGCCGCGGGACGGTGGTGCGGCGCCATGCCGGCGTGCGCGGTGCGGTGAGGAAGGACGGACTCCTGTCCGCTGGTGAGAGTGGCGGCTCAAGCTCTTCGGAGATGCTGTCCATGGCCCGGGGGGGTAGGGGGGGTGCGGCGAGGGAATGAGTCGGTGTGGTTTTCTTCGGTGGGTTGCTGGTCTTGGTGGGCGTGGTGTTTTGCTCAATGTGTATGGTGGTGCATCGGGAATTGGACAATTCTTCAAATGATCGGTGTCGCTCATTAATTATCCTTTTTTTTTTTTTTTTTGCCGAAACGGTTAGCGTGGCCAAATTTGCGCTCGACTAACGCGATGAGGCTCTCCCCAACTCAAACTCTCGCGAAGGGAGTTCGCCCAGTTGGACGATGAGGAAAAGCTTTTCGTGAGAGGGGGTTGATTCATCACTGATTAATCCACTTGATCACAACTGAATGAATACATCATCAGCGATTCCAAGCAGGAGGAGGATGTCTCGGCACAAAGGCAGAGGAGGAAAAGCGGTGGGCAGGTGATTGATTGATGGACCTGAATATCTGGAGCGATTTGTGCCCGAGAGACAGAGACCGACAGAGTGGGAGAGGGAGAAGGAGAGAGTGAGTGAGAGAGAGTGAGAGAGAGAGAGAGAGAGAGAGAGAGAGAGAGGTGTGTGTGTGTGTGTAGATCAAAATTGATGAATATGATATCAATAAATATCAAATATTATCCTATTGGACCATGCATATTACCTCGTGTCCGGAATAGTTTGGAGCGCCAAAATCGATGATTGATTAGGGCTTTTCTTTCTTTTCTGGGCGCAAATGGGCAAAGAGGGCGAGAGACTGAGGCAGTGCGTGGAAAGGGAAAGCGACAAGGACGAGATACGATATCTGATCTCCTCTCGTGTATAAATATCCGCCCGAAAGGGAGAATCCTTCTTCATCGCCCGATTATCATCAATCAATCATTCAATCAATCAGTCTGTCAGTCAGCCAGTCAGTCAATCCAACCCAATATGGTCGCCGCATCCTCCCCTTCACCGTCGACTGCGGTCGCATCCTCCTCCTCCTCGCCGTCGTCGGCGACCCCCGACGCCTCTGCTTCTTCTGCGCTGACGGCCCCTGCGCAGGCTCCAGCTGCGGCGGACCAGCCGGCCTTCGCGGAGAAGGAAAAACTGATCGTGTTCGACACCACCCTGAGAGACGGCGAGCAGGTACGACGAGCAGTACCAGTAGTAGTCATACGAATGTCGTTCTGTCCCTCGACCGCCGACCCCTCTCCTGCACTCTAGAGTCCCCGCCACCCTCCCCCCTCCCCTTCACTCTACATCGCGCTGACATCCACTGCTTTGATACTCTTCCAGTCCCCAGGCGTCACTTTGACCGTCGGCGAAAAAGTCGAAATAGCCCGCCAGCTGTCCCGCCTCGGCGTCGATGTCTGCGAGGCGGGCTTCCCCGTAGCGTCCCCCGGCGACTTTGAAGCGGTCGCGCGGATCGCCAAGGAAGTCGGCCCGCTGACGGAGCACCGCAAGACCGGCAAGCCCATGATCATCGCGGCCCTCGCGCGCGCCGTCGAAACCGACGTCCGCCGCGCCTACGACGCAGTCCGCCACGCCCCGCTCCACCGCATCCACACCTTCCTCGCCACCAGCGACCTCCACCTGACCCACAAGCTCCGCATCTCCCGCGACCAGTGCGTCGACCGCGCCGAACGGGCCGTCAAACTCGCGAAAAGCCTCGGCTGCCAAGACGTCGAGTTCTCCCCCGAAGACGCCGGACGCTCCGACCGTGCGTTCCTCTGCCGCGTCCTCGAAGCCGTCATCGACGCCGGCGCGACCACCCTCAACATCCCCGACACCGTCGGATACAACACCCCCGACGAGTTTGGCGCGCTCATCAGACACCTCATTCGAAACACCCGCGGCGCGGAAAAAGTCGTCTGGTCCACCCACTGCCACAACGACCTCGGCCTCGCCACTGCCAACACCCTCGCCGGAATCGCGAACGGTGCGCGGCAGGTCGAGGTCGCGGTCAACGGCATCGGCGAGCGCGCGGGCAACACCGCGCTGGAGGAGGTCGTCATGGCCGTCCACACCCACGCCGCGACCTCCCCCGTCTACCACACCATCGACACCGTCCAGCTGTTTGCGACCTCGCAGCTCGTCACAAAACGCACCGGTATGCCCATCCAGCCGAACAAGGCCATCGTCGGCGCCAACGCCTTCGCGCACGAGTCCGGCATCCACCAGGACGGCGTGCTCAAGCACAAGGCCACCTACGAAATCATACAACCAGAGACCGTCGGCACACCGTCCAACTCGCTGCCGCTCGGCAAGCACTCGGGCCGTAACGCCCTCCGCGCCCGTGTCGAGCGTCTCCTCGGCCCCGACGCCTTTGCAAAACACTTTGCCCCGCCAAACCCCGCCGCCTCCGACCCCGCCGCCAACCCGGCCAACCAGCAACCGAACCCCTTCGACAACCTCTTCGCCGCCTTCAAGCGCCTCGCAGACTCCAAAAAATCCGCCGTCGACGACGCCAACCTCGCCGCCCTCGTCGACGCCACCCTCGGCGTCGCAGTCGCGGACCCCGCCGCCGCCGTGCCCCCGCGCTTCCGCCTGCGCGCCGTTCGCGTCCACAACAACTCGGACGCCCGCGCGACGGCCTCCGTCGTGCTCGTCGACGCCGAGGCGGAGGACCACGCCGCCGCCGAGGTCGAGGACGCCGCGACAGGCGCGTCGGCTGTCCACGCCGTCGTCCGCGCGGTGGACCGCGTCGCGGGAATCGACGCCCGCGCTGTGAGGGTAATGTACCACGTCTTCCCCGCGCCCGTCGCCGACGCGGGGAACGTCGCCGCCGCGGTGTGGATCCGCGACGACAACAGCAGCAGTGGCGCCGCGGAAAAGCAAGAGGCGCGCCGGGCTGCGCCGACGCCGCCGCTGCTGGTCGCGGAACCCCCAGAGACCTCCTCCGAGGCTGTCGCGACGGGTCGTGGGCAGGACGCGGACGTTGTCGTGGCGGTTGCAAGGGCGTACGTCGATGCAGTCAACAGGTACCTGGCACGGCGGGTGGGGAAGGTTGCGGGTGCGACAGCGTAGGGACTCCAACTTGGGCATATATTTTCTTGGCTATTTCTTCTTCTTTTTTTTCTTCTTCACATGGTGAGGCCTTGCTTCTACCAGTTGTTTTGCTTCGCGGAGCAACGTACCGTTTTTTTTTTTTTTGGTTTTTGCCGCGCCTTGTCAATAAATTTCGCAGAAACGAGAAAGAAACGGGCGCCAGTCAGGCGTAAATCCCATCGCAAACACTGCAGCTCCCAGGTAGAGCACCGAGTCGAGGCGAGTCGAAGCCTTGCTGAGCATCTTCGCGGTACCATCTGCGGATACAAGGTAGAAAAGTCGAAAAAGCAAATTGCTTCGGGTGAGAATCGAACTCACGACCTTCGGATTATGAGACCGACGCTTTAACCAACTAAGCCACCGAAGCTACATAGTCTCCATCATCCTTAGCATACCATATTGTGCCACATTAAACCTCCGAAGCAACAACGGCTGCCTTGCCGCCATTTTTTCATGTCGGTTTCCGTGTTCCAAGACATATGACGAGATTCTTTCCGGCAGTGATAGTTTCGCCCAATGGAGGGAGCAGAAGGTGGAACCTCTCCAGCACTTGACCCCGTGCCGCCGACATTCCTTGACTGGCGAGTTGTGAGCGGACAGTACCCATTTGTTCTTTAGCCTTCTTTTTTATACATGCTATGGGGAAGGGGAGGGGGGGGTTCTTGCTGTGCGAAAGAAAAACAAAAGTAAAAGAAACGGGCTCACAAATTTCCAATAGCACGCTTGCACGCTAGCTCAACAGAAATTGAGTTAAGCTGGTTGCCGATCGCTTCTGATAATTTTTGGTCGATAGGGTTGAGTCTGGGGCGTGTGCTGTTCGCTGCATGGTCATTGCGACCATAGTCCATTACCGAATTTGCAGGATCGACGGGATCCAAGGTGCGATGAGTTTCGCGATTGTTTTATCAGTACACTGCACGGTCTTGATGAGAACAATGGGAGAGTCGATCAATCGCACTCATTCAGCCCAGACGGTGCTCGTTGTCCGTGAAGAAGCCGCTGCAGTCAATTTCATTCAGGCCCCCTACTTGCGGTTAAACGCCCTGTCCACTCCTGTATTATTATTCACCCCAAAGCATTCCACAGACGCCCAACACAGACGTCGGATCACATCAACATGCCCATAGTAAACCCGCTCACAATATCTGCGTCCGTCGGCGAGGCCTCCTCCGCAAACACCATGCTTACCGGCGGGTCCGTCGCCGCGTTGCGAGGCACCTCTGGCGGCTCCTCGACCCGCTCCGGGCTGCCCAGCACCGCCGGAAACTTTTTTGCAACCGCCGCCGCCGCGGCCCGCGAAACCCCCACGACCTGGATCGGCACGCGGTACTCGAGGGGTGGCGGCGGCGCTCGGCCCACCGCCGCGACCTTGCCGAGGAGTTGTTTCGCCTTCGATCCGAGGGACGACGGCGGCGATGGGGACGAGGCTGACGAAAGCGGGGAGGAGGAGGGAGGAGAGGAGGAGGAGGAGGTCAGGCGGGGCGACGGCGGGGACGATGAGGGCGGCGAGCAGTGCACCGCGACGCAGATTTCGTGCACGATGATGGTCTGTATCCACCGGCCGTCCGTGTTGACGCATCCGCTGGGAACGTCGGGGTATGTCTTCGACCAGTCGATGGCCGTCGACCCGACTTTTAACGGCCCTCGGACGTGGCTTCGTGCGGCGGGCGCGAGCGGGACGCGCAGCTTGAGCGACGCGGTGATGCCCTCCACGCCGTCGGGCGACCACGACGGGTTCCAGCTGAGCGTCTGTTCGGCCGCGGACGTGCCGGTTTTGAGCTCGCGCGTGGCGACGGACGCGACGCAGGTTTTCGCGGTCGCGCGCGCACGCAGGGAGCCCGACTTTTCCGAGCCCTCAGGGAAGCCGACCACCTCGACGAGGGACACAGTGACCTGGGTGATCCCGCTGACGAGGGAGGACAGAGCGGTCGAAGGGATTGGGGAGCCGGTCGGCGAATACTGCGGCGGCCCCTGCTGCATCGTCAGGTCGATCGTCAGCGTTTCGCCCGGGACGCACCAACTGTGCGGACCGATCTTGATGTGCATGTCGGGGAGCGTGTCGGGCTTGGGGCTCGGGATGAGCGATGAAATCGGATCGGTCACGCTGCTGTCCAACCAGCCGCGGATGACGTCTGCCGAGAATAGCTGAACAGGTACGTCGTGGAAAAAGCTGATGTTGCCGTAAGGGCCAGGGGCTTTCACTCTCAGCCGGTACAGAACAACGTTCCCGGTGTCGTGCAGGCAGGCGGTGTGGAGGTCCAGCGCGGGTGGGTAGACTTGCGTGAACCGGAAGCGAAACGAGCCGTAGTACTCTCCGCCCGCGGGAACCGCCACTTTCGGCCCAAACACGGCCGGCGGCGGATCGGCGAGGCGCAACGAGATGCGCTGATACATGGCAAACTTTTCGTTCGGCTTCGCCACTGACCTCCTGCCCCCCATAATCATCTCAAGCTTGACCGTGACCGTGGACAGTTCCAGCGGCCGCCTGGCGCCAACGAGCGACCTGATCCGGACGTACCCTGCGATCGCCCACGGGCCGAGTCCAGGCAGGCCGTTGAATCCGCGGACGAGCTTTTCGCTTGCGCAGCTGGACGGCGTGAACGTGGGCTTGGCAAGGATCGTGACTTCGATGCCTATGTCCTTGTCCTTGGCCAGGGCGACCTCGATCAGATCGGCGGCGGCGACGGTGGAGCCGCCTCCACTACCGTTACCATCCGAGTCGTAATGATCTACGTCGACGATCCCCGGTGTGGCGATGCTTCCTTGTGCGAGAAACGATGGCGGCTCGCGGTGCGAGGAGAAGTGGCGGATGTCGGCGTTGTGGGTGGCGGTCTCTTGATGCAGGGGCCGCATGGCGGTGAAGGCGGCCGAGGCTCCGCACATGGCGATGACCTGCTGGTTGATTAGCGGGTGGTCGGCAAGGACCTTTGCCTCGAAGACCTGCCGCTTGGCCGGGTCGGGCGGCGGGACGAGCAGCAGGCTGGGGTTCAGGTGCGTCGCAAACCCCATTGCCATTTCAGAAACAGCGCAAAACCCGTAAAGTGACTCAACAAGTTAGTTAATGCTGACGTAATGTTAGCACCGATTAATTAAAAATGCCGTTGATGCGTCTCAACTCGTCATCTTGCCGTTTCTCCATGCTCGGTCACACTAACACCAGGGTATTGGCTCTTATAATCCAAACTGGCCCATCATGCATATCCACTAGACTAGGCTAGACTATGGGATGGGCCTTCGAAGATGAAGAGGATCTCATACCCGCATCGATCGGTTCGTACTCATACACCATTCACGACTACAAGCACCTATACAATCGAGATGAAATTCTTCTGGAGCAGAGCCTCTCACCTTTCTAAGGCCCAGCGGTTCGGTTAGGATAGGATAAAAGCCGTACTAACCCAATTGTGTCCTGAAAAACCCCGCCTAAGCGTAACCCAACCCAAAACTGGAAATTTTCAAAATTTTCACTTTATTCCTGGAAGTATAGTTCTGTGATGCCTCCACATTGCTTTGGAATTATATTCTTTCGCCTTTACCTTGCTTACACTGTTGTTCACCGCCACTCGACCACTAGGCTCTTTTAGTACTTGCGGTACGTGTAGTGATGCGCAAATCTAGCCGTTCGATTCTCCCCCTGTGTGCTTCGATATTGTTTCTGTTTCGTCGCAGTTAAGTCACTTTGGCTTTTTTTTTTTAAGCTAGCCCTCACCATGTAGCTTTCTGTTCCTGATCGCTCCTATCCTCTGATTTTCTTTTGGTGTTACTCAAGTCTGCTGATTGGTCTATGCTTCATTTCTTCCTCCTTTGACTCTCCTCATTCGTAGCTTCTTGTGAAGTTGCAGTGTAGAAGGCGAAGAGCATTTCAAATCAACCAAGGTCTGTCCAGAGGTCTATCGAGAGGTCTCTGCACAGTAGACAAAGCGTGTTGCACACAGAGACAAAAATCAGCTGACCTGGGCAGCTGAGAGCTGTCCAAACATTTCTCTGAACCCATTGAGTGTAGTGCTCTACCTTGCATTATGGGAGAGGGAATGCTGGGTGCTGCTCACGCCAGGCACCATCCCAGGAGGCATGGCCCATTGAGGTGATTCTAATCGCATTGTCCTCGCCAGCGAAGCCTAGGAAAGCAAAGCTAGAATCACCGCCATCTTCGCCTAACTCTTTTTGTTGGATTCAGATTAGGCCTTTTGGCTTACCTGACTTAGTGTAAGTTGTTAGGCGGAACTGACTGGTAAGCAGCAAGAGGTACAAGACGGACCCAAACCTATTGTGACTGTCAGTTATCGTTCTCACAATGCCCATGGAAGAGCGAGCCACCGCCAATGCTGTTATGAATCACCCTCTGGAAACCTCTGGAACCTTCTAGAACATTCCTTCATGGAACCTTCTGGAACCTTCTGGAACCTTCTTTGCTTTCCTGACTTGTCTTGTTGTCATTGGTATCATTGGTATCATTGTATTACTAATTGCTCTTTCTGGAACTTTCTTGGAGTCTTGACAAGGAACACTCTCAAAAGGTATAAAAGGGGGATGGGGGACCTGTCCCATCCCTCAAGTGAATTATTGTTTCCAATACAATCATCACTCCTCTCAGTTCCTTGTCTGCCTTGTCCTGTCCTGCCCTGTTCCTGACATCATAATTCACTTCACCCTCTCCCACTACTCTCTGCCATCATGTCTGACCCAAACAACACCTTCCCTGATGCAACTGCCTTCCAAGCCTTGATGGACCAATTACAAGCCCTCTCAAGACAGACACACCAACTTCAAGAACAAGTCCTTCACCAGCAGCACCAGCTTCAACAACAACTTCACCAACAAGAACATCAAGCTCTTCCCCTGCCTCAAGCCAACCAAGCAAGAGAGCCCAAGGTTCCCAGCCCTGACAAGTTCACTGGGCTGGCCAAAGACCTTAGGAACTTCATGGCCACTGTGGAGAATGTCATCCTTCTCCAACCTTCAAGATTTCCCAGTGAGCAAGTCAAGGTTCTTTTCACAAGCACCCTCCTGTCTGGTCAAGCTCAATCATGGTACAGATCTCTCCCAAGCACACCCACCACCCTGCAAGAGCTCTGGGAGGGGCTGGAAGCTACCTTTGGTGACCCCTACGCATCTTGGACAGCAAGATCCAAGCTCAAGCATATCAAGCAAGGAAAGCAATCTTGTGTGGCCTACACCAACCAATTCAAGCAACTAGCCAGAGACTCTGGATACAATGATGCAGCTCTGATGGAGCTGTACCATGATGGTCTCCATGAGTCTATCCAAGACATGCTCTCCCAGTCTCTGCACATCCCTGAGACCTTGGAAGAGTACATTCTCCTTGCCATCAAAATTGACAACAGACTCTACTCCAAGAGGCTGAAG